GGTGCGATGCGCCGTGAAGTATCGGATGAGTTCATTCGTTATTCGACATGCTTGGTTATCAAACAACTTATTATACCCGAGAAGGATGAAAAGCAGGTAATCCCACCAAAATTCGAATGCGAGTTTGATGCCTTTCTGGCTGAATTTTATCGTCGTAACTACTAGTCACGGCAATAGACGTACTTTTTAGCGTGTGGGCAAATTTTGTTAGTAAATTTAAAAAGCTTCTATAATTGCTTGCATATATACAGTATTTTTCGTCGTTCGGCAGTCCTAATTCTCACGATCGCCTTTATCACATCGATTTTTAAGTTTTTATTGTTGTGTAGAAGCGTCAGTGTTTATGCTGTTATTTAGACTTTCGCAGCTGATGTGTTTTCTCTTGGCTGCCTGTTTTACTACGCTCTTTCTGGTGGTTTGCATGCGTTTGGTGACTCTAATCATCGGCAGGTCAACATCATCATCGGTCATGACGAAATCGATGACGTTGTCAATTATGGTACGCAAAATTAACTCGGACACGCTAAATGCGAAAGTAGCATCTTTCAAATTTTGTTCAGCTGGCCTTAATTTCAAGTTTATTATGGAAATCGATCTATTTATCTGTTTATAATGTCGGCTTCTCTAAACAAACATGACCATCTTAAAATTGTTATCCGTGGCAATAGATAAAATGTTAATTGTAAAACTGAAACCAGCGTCGCACGAAGCATGCAGCAGCTGAACGATAAAGTTACATTTCAGGCAGAAAGTGTTAGGTGAGTTTTTTTTCTCGTTGTGATCGCCTTGAAAATTTGTCGCGAAATTGAAATCATCGATTTCCTTTTGAGTTATGGCGATTAGGCGCTAACAGATTTATTTATTTGTTCAAGGCAGGTTAATCAAAGACGTATACTTTGACTGAACTGTACGATTCATAACGTTGCTTTATGTGTTCTTCTTCAAATGGATCATATATAATCATGCCGTCTGGAAATAGAATGACTTTCGGATTTGTTCAAATAAAGTTTGCTTTAAAATAAGTCACGGCTGCACTTTATGACTGTTCTTTTACTTTATATCGTGCACAGTTATCGTTTGTTCAGATAGCCTATAGTACAGAATTTCGCAGCCCCGTATTAGTGAATAATGTTCACTTCTGTTCAAAATGTTTCTGATCTTCTCTCGGGTGCATCCAGGGTACCTGTGCGTTGGTAGCATATTGAAAGAAAAAGTGTTAAGACTGTAATTATTTAAATAAAACAACTGTGATGTTTTGGGATAACTTACACATATAGTAATTTAAGTATTCTCATTCAAAACGACGGCTAGTTTCGATGATAAATCCATACCGAGGTTCATATGTATTTCACAGTATATTATTCAAGTATATATCATTAAGTTTGATATTGTTCTCTATAATAACAGCTGTTCGCTGAAATTGCGATGTAAATTTGACGCCCGTTTGATTATTATAGTAGTTTGATAACAGCAACTTAAGGAGCATTAATAATTCATTCTTAACAGAGCAGCGAGGCGAGGGATTGGAGTATCATCGAATATCTGTTATCAGAAAAGCTATAGAAATAATCACAGTTCAAAATTCTTCTCCTGCAGCAGCTGTAGTCGAAAAATAGAGTCTTTTCAAGCACGGTTCCAAATATCGGTAACGGCTTATCGTCGAAATAAGTACTATGATGTTTCTTTCAAACCGTTATTTTTTACTGATTTTTAATTTTCAAGTCAGACCTGTAAATTGCATAATTTTTAATAGCTACAAACTAACTTTTTTATGTGCAGAAAGTCGATGTTTGATAAAACAAATGGTGTCCCACAGTCGTACTTCGAGGCCGTCCGCGAAAGAAATTCTCAAACATCCTGTCTTTTGGACCAGCGAGAAACGGCTTCAGTTTCTTCAGGTTTTTTTTACTCTTTTTGTCTTTTATGACTCTTCCTGTTTTCAGGATGTTAGTGATCGAATCGAAAATGAGGATATTTTCAGTCCAGTTGTAAGGAATCTCGAACGGGGATCTTCGGTTGTCACTGCTAACGACTGGAGATTACAGTTGTGTCCTGCTCTACAAGAGGGTAAGAAACGACTTTGTTCCTTTCCGAACCCATGAGCTTGTGTAACAGTTTCTTTGCGTCGCTTATCAGTCGTTTAATCGTTCGAACCACCGTGAGTATCAGTAGCTACCGAAGCACGGTAGATGTCGCCTGTGAGGTCAGCTTGCGTCAAGAAAAAACAGTTATGGCATACCTTCAAACGAAGAGAAATGTTTAATTCTGCAATGTTTTAACCAGTGCTTTGTAGCAAAATTGTTGAGAAATTGGCATTATGGCAGATATTACTAGCCAAAGATGTTATGCTGGTGCAAAGGGATTGAGATGATTGTCATAGGAAAAGACGGTTTTTGAACTTTTTTAAGAGACTCGAGATTTTTTGTCATCCACTTTTAAAGTCTTTGGAGTCTTACTTTGAACGCGCTTGTAGTCATTTAGATGATTATGTTCGTGACCTTCCAGAGTTTTCTCATTAAATCCGCGCTCTCCACTGGTGTATTAAATGTTGGGATATTGTTTACATGTTTTGTCATCATTTTGTATTTCACGTTTTGCAGACATTTTCTCATTTTTTGAATCGTGTTGCCGTTAATACCGTATTGTTGTCCGTATGGCATGTTTGCAAGTGATAATGGGAAATACATACATGTATACATACTCTCAGGCATCGATGCGGGCAAAACATTCTCACATCTGTTACTGGAAAGATTTGTAAACAAGATGATATTGTCAAAAATCTGCGTCTTTTCTTACCACCACAGTATATTTTTTGATAAATTGAGTCATTCTTATGTGAAATACACTGAAACCGTTTCAAACCAGTCATGATAATTAGTAATCATTTGTTTTATGTTAAATTTTTTCACCTTTAGATCTTCGCAAATTTCGGACGTATCGTGGACGAAGTCTTCGAGATCTTCTACGAGCCATCCGCAACAAACGTCATCATTATCAAGAACTACCTGAAGAGCTTCGTACCGCCATCGGTTCGATTCCTGACGATTTCATCGCTTATTTCACTGATCGATTTCCAAACCTCATCATGCACGTCTACGGGGCGATGAGCATCTGCAAGACAGATTCGATTCTGGCCAGGTACTACTGACCGGTGTACGTCATACCTTCTTTCCCAGTTACAGAGAAATGACGCCGGTTGTGATTTCTCTTGCTCATTCACTTTTATGCTGTTTATTGTTATTGTTTAAATTTTGTACGAAGTTTGTTCAGGGATTTTATTAGGTTTCTTTCCGACGCGATGGTTCCACTTGTAGTTGTCATTGTCCTACTGTACAAATGATTATGAAATATTTTGGTTATGCTTTTAACTTCAAATGGTTTGCTTTTCATATGTATTTGCAATTTGCTTTTTGTGTTGATTTTGAGCGAAAGAGTTGATTCTGAAAGATAGGGTCATTCATCAGATGAATCAATTCATGTTGAGCACAGAGATCGGGTCTATAATCAGGCAACGTCATTATCTCTTTCCTAACTAGAGTTTTAGCTAACTTTACTGACTTTCCAGTAATACGCTGAGCCAATATATGTTCGTTTAATATGTAAGCTTTATAATTGTTGGGCATTCTCTCTTGCATTTACGCAGGTCAAAAATGAGTCAGTCAGTTTCAATAACCGCTTTTCAGTTCGGATCGCGTAGACAGAGGCGTCAGTCAATGTCTCCAACTTTCTTAATCCTTTTCCAGTGTTTGAGCTTCTGCAGAACATTGCCCAAGCTTGGAGCACTGTCTTTCTATATAGTTTCCAGAAGTTATTTTTAGCCATCCCTTAAGTGTACAGCCGTTTGGTTGAGAAAGCATTAACTGTTTCGCCTTCCTTTCTGAAGGTGTTCGCATAAAGTGACCAAATAATCGCAGCTATGATTTCTGTCTGAGAAAGCGGTAGATATTGCTCTCTCGGATAT